TTTTCTCTGCTATAGGAAACATTGCCCAAAAATTAACTTCAAAATCCCCATCATTCCCATTTTGGTTTGAACTGCCACCACAGCAAAACAGCAAGGGGTGCCTGTTGCCATCTTTTCTCTAAAGTAGGGGACTAACAGTATTCCTGTGGCTGTTGTATTTACAGGAAAATTTCAAACACAGATAATACTATGTATAGTAAATTAAATACTAACAGATTTTGTTGTACAAAGTGAGTTGTTGCTTTCCAATTTAAATGCATATAGTTATTTTACGGGGGTTTTTTTAAGTCTTGACAATGAGCTATTAATACTAGTAAAAGCAGTACATCTATTTACATCTATTTTCTCATTAATAGTGACATTCATTTAGGCAATATTATTCACTGTATGTCCTTCTACCATCTTTGAGAAGCTACTTGCCCCCGTGTTCCAGAATAGAAACAGGAAGACAATTATTTTAGGCAATTCTCCTCCACTTATTTGTTTGCACTCAGCTGGGAACTTCTAGGGTTTTTTCCATTTTACCAAAATCTTCTTCCCCAGCCCAGTGCATGCTGTAAAATTCTTTTTGGCTAAACTGATCAAAACTGAATAGAATCTCCATGTACCAGCTGGGGTCTTCAGATGCTCACAACTTTTACAGATTTTTTTTTCTAAATATTGTTCACTTTTTTCCAGTTATGCTATGATGACTCATCTAAAACTCAGATTTAGGAAGGAAAAACAGAAGGAAGAAGAAGAGACTAGTGGCCAGTGTATGGCAATCAGATATCTATCTTATATCAGAGATATAAGATAAATGCAGCAGTCCCAGAGACGGATAAAAGAAAGTGATAAATGTGTAACAGAAATACCCAACAGAAGTTCCAGATACAGATACTTCCCCCATTTGATAATATTTACATAATTCAACTTCTTAGGGCCTAATTTAGCTAGATCAGTCTATCATAATCAGTAAAGAGAAAAAAGTCTTCATTCCTCCATCTCACACAAACAGATGCCTAGAATGGTGTGTCTGTTCTACTGAGCAACGTCATTTTGAAAGGCTCTGAATAAGTATGAGCAATTGCAAATCACTCTGAGGACTCTTCAGTAATTTTCTAAGTACTAATAGTGTCAGCACACCTAAAATTTAGTAGTGCACCAAGCCAAGCCAGTGTACACTGATTATATCAGGTGCTTTTGTCTGCTTGGCATCACTGTATGATGTGGTCAGCAAAAGTCCTGTCCCGAAAGCAGCAGCTCCTGTCCAGAGCAGCCTCCATTTGTTTCTCTAGGCTGCAGACAACTGCCATCGCAGTGTGTTTGAAGCTTAGCACGGAAAACACTGGCACATTCACACCCTAATCCTCCCCAAACCCAGTCACTCATTCAAATAGCCTTGGAAAAAACAAACAGAGAAGAGACCATGCCCTTCAATACTTTAAAGCTTAGAAAAAAACCCTATGCTAGAGAAGTCAGGAAGAAGTCTGGAAAAGCACAGTTTGGGGCTAATTGCTTCTCTTATTTCAGTTTATAATGCCAAAACCTCAAGCCTCAATGCCAGAGTTGGAGAAGAGTTTATGGTGGCAACCCAAACACCAGAAGTCACAGATGCAACAACCTTGCCTAATCCAAATAGCAGTTTGCCAATTGGTGAATTTTACAGCATTTGGTTTGTCTGAAGAAAAATTTAATTTATGGTCCCAGACACAGAGTACGCTAGAAGAAGAACAACAGGAATTTAATCAGCATCAGGCAGTAACCAAGAGTGACAGCTTAAGCAATAAAAAAGTAGAGAAAATTAGAATTTAGAGGAAGTTAAAATCTTGGGAACAGAGTAACATACTTCAGTACTTATTTTGGCAACAGTATTTCACAGAATTCCAGATTGGAATTGTGGATTGTAAATTGCTTAACTTGAGGCAAGGAGAACATTCCAGGCAGGTACAATTGTTAACTGTCTGAAATGGAAATTATCCTGATTAAGTATTAAGCATCCACCTCCAAGGTTGGGTTGGTTTTTTGTTTGTTTGTTTGTTTGGTATCTGTTTTGGTTTGGGTGGGGGGTTTTTTGCACATCCATGTATAATGATACATTTACATTATCTGTATACAGGACCTGGAGACAAGCATTCTTTCACAGCTTGCACTTCCAAACATTAGAGAAAGCTTTATAGATTAAAAGAAACAATGGCATTTGAAAAAGCAGAGGTTCACTGGTAACAATAAAAATACTTACACCTTCATCTGCAGAAGTAACACCAAGTTGCCAACAAAACTAGTTAAAGTTACTCAAATGCATACTTCTCTACCTCAGTACAAGTGGAGCTATGTTATTTTTTTCCCTCTAAATGGAGATAACATGAATAATAAAGATGGTTAAATCCAAAACTGAAAGTTATATCCAGAAATATTTTAATTAGATTTTTTATAAACACAATAGCCGTTGGCTGCAAGTAGACACTGAACGAAGTGGTACAGAGAAAGCAGAGAACTTTTGAAACAAACCCTCATCTTCTTGTTAGCCTGATGCCAATGGAAACTAGTTCTTATGTAGCTTAGAGGAAAGGGATACTGGTTTTGGCCTGTGTATCAGACCATGTGCTGCTGGTGGCCTTCCTTCCCATGGTCAGGAATTCCTGGGAAGAACAGATCTGGAGGCCCTGCTGTTCTTCTGCAGGCACGACCAGGATGAGGTGAGCTGGATGAGGGAGCAGGGAGCACTAAGGTGACCTGGAGCATGAGCTTGTCCAGCCTCCCAGGCCAGGAGTTGGGTTACACTGGGTATAACCTCATGTGAACGATGGGGAGGTCCCCAGGGTTCACCACCTGGTCACATCTGTCACCAGCACTTGTTCACAGCAATCTGCACTCGGGTCCAGTGCTGCAGGACAGCTATGCTCAGGAGCAAGTTATAACATCCCACGAACATCCAAGACATCAGACATGGAGAACACTCCTTTGCTTCAATTTCTTTTACATCCCACAGGTTTGCTTCTGCTAGCTTTACCACCCAGCCAAGAATAACCACTGCAGCAAGGTTTGGTAGAGGGCACCTGGGATGACCGTCAGGCTCCCTTACAACTTTCAGCATAACAGAAGTCTGGTTCTAGTGCTATTTTCCTCCGTAAGTATGTTGCCAGAGATGCTAAATCTTAGAAATCAGTAATTTCTAAAGAGCTTCTCCACTTCCAGAGAACACCAGCAGGAACTAACAAATACAAGCCATATTTCTTCTTATCAAATAGTGGTCACTAAGTACATGAGGTCTACATGTCCAGAATGAGATCCTCAGACTTAATCACAGAATCACCATAGAGTGATTTGGGTAGGAAGGGACCTTAAAGACCATCTTGCTCAAACCATCTGCCATGGGCAGGGATACCTCCCCCTAAACCAGGTTCTTCAGAACCCCATGCAACCTGGCCTTGAACACTTCCAAAAACGGGGCATCCATAGCTGGGAAACTGTTCCAATGCCTCAGTACCCTCACAAGAAAGACTTTATTCCTAATATCTAATCAATTTATGCACCATGTTTCTCAGGCAAGATCCCAGCTTCTCTTTTTCAGGGAAGAGCCTCTTCAATAAAATGGCAGAAATATTTACCATACAGAAGATCCTACTTTATCCCACAATGAACAGTTATTCATAAATAAGCACTGTGAAAGGAATACACAGCCACCTCCAGACACAAGCAAGTGCTTATGAAATTAAAGGGAAATTTTGTGATTGCTCTGTAGAGCAAGAAATGCAGCAATGCAATTATAAATACATCTCTTGATGGCTCTAATTCACCAAATTTAACATATAACAGACTGCTTCCTTTCTTAATGAAGTGGTCTACATATTCCATAGAAATGGAAATTTTTAGGGCTCTATGTATTTTAACTACTATCTTATAAATATTTCTAGATGTAAGCAGTAATAATCACAGCCAAGGTACTTACTCCTACTTTCTATAAACTGTGTTACAGCAGATCAGACTAAGTATTGTTTTAAAATGTTATTTGTAATAGATTGTTTCAGAGACAAGCACAGGAACTACTCACATTTGAATTAAAATTGCATTCATACATAAACCTTTCACAAAACTCAGCGATTAGATGTGCTGCACTATTTTTCAAGTTTATTTATTAAAAAGGCAATTAAGATGCATCCATTCCTCACTGGAGTCATCAAGGAAGAAAGTGAAAATCATTCCAAATCTGCTAACACTTTTGACAGTACTATGATAAAAGCCCATAGATTAGCAGTCAAAATACCTTTCATCTCAGTTTGATCTGTGTTTTGGACATATCCTCTCAAGACCAGTGGTAACAAGAAAATTTTAAAAAAACACCTTAACAATCTGCCAAATTAAATTATAATCCTGTATCTTGCGCATATTATGGATAATTTTGCATTTGTATTATTGCAATTTTTTTAAAGCATAATAAACCAAAATATTTCAAACCCCCAGACAGCTCAAAATACTGAATGTTTTGCCACTTACCAATTTCAGTGTTTAACAACAATTTGACATTTTATTGTGAAAATTTAGTCTAATATACCCTTAAAATTGAGACTCTGACAGCATTTTCTTTGCTATGCAAGATCCTGTTTAAGTTACATTGATAGAACAGATATAATTATTCAGGGTGAATATCTTTGGAATGGCTAGTAAACTAAAGTGTTTAGATTCCTTGGCACATCCTTGAGAACTAGATCACTAAAACAACTGTTTAACTGATCACATTATAAGCTCAACTTAATATCTTAAGAAATAGGATGGGGTAGAAAAATAAACATTTTACTCGTTTTAGATAGTAACTCTGGTGCCAGAGGCAGGATGCTTTCAGAGACACTGATTTAATAAACTTAATTACCTTATGCTCATGATATGTCAATGTTAATGCCTGAATTAGTTTTCACTGCCGGACAAAATCCATTAGGAACACTGATGCTCATTCTTAATGTTCTGTAAGAGGCAGAGCTTTAGAACACACACATACACAAAAACTACATTCATAAATTAACCTTGAACTGCAGCAGCTTCTGAATTAGCAGCAAGTTCCAAATTAGCAGCAGCTTCTGAATTAGCAGGAGCTTCCTGCTGTGCTTCTTCCACAGCATGGGATACCTCTGGAGCCAGTAAGTCATTCTCCCCTCCAGCTTCTGGGGATACCCCAGAAGTCTCATCCTGTGCTGTAGGTCCAGCACGCTCATCCTGTGCTGCAGGTTCAACAGAAGCTGCTGCATCAGCTTCTTCCATGGTCTTCTCTGCTCCAGTGACTTCATCCACTTCTTCTCCATCACCTTCTAAGGATTTATTCAATACAATAAAGAGAGTAAAATGCATGCATGCAACAAAAAATTCACCAAATACTTTTTATCATCATCCTCATTTAAATTTGAAGTGGGAAGCTAAGATTTGGGATCAGAATTAACAAAAAAGATCAATAATTAATCCCCCATATTGTCTAATGTGGCATCAAAAAACAATGTTTATAAGATGCGGAAACCATATTCTTAATTACTGAGTTTCATAACATGTTTCAGTGTGATACGAAAAGAAACTGTGACTTTAAGCAAGTGTTGGGGGTGCAGGGAAGGATAACAAAGGACATTGTCAAGTGTTGCTTCAAAGCACTCTGCTGAAAGGGCCAGTGATGGTACACACACAGGTGCCAGAGGGAGCATGACTCTGTGGAATTACCATGTGGGGAAGAAGATATTTTGTCTCATATAAGTAAGAAAATAACTTGCTAATTTCAAGTGGTCAGAGCTCACTTTCTTAGATGTATGACCACTTATGACTGATTATTTTCTTTTTACAACTCACAACTCTCTTTTAAAGACTTGTTTACACCACGCTGGGTCCAACTCCTTAGAACCTGAAAAATGGTGTTTCCCAGTCATGCATCACTTCAAATTCAGCTGAGACAAGTAATGAAAAACTAACAGCACAAAGCAAGAGATGCTCAACCACCATGCAAACATGCACTAACATCAAGTTCACAAACGAAAAGTTATACACCAACAGTTCATCACAAGTTAACCACTAGAACCAACTCACCATGTAAAAAAAAAAAAAAAATAGAACTGGAAATAAATTTGTAACATAGTGTAAACTATGTGAGAATTGAAACAAAAAAGCTTAAAGAGACATAGTCAGAGTTTGTGTGATTCTTTTGTATCTGTTTCATTTCTTGGTCATCTTATGCCAGTGAAAGCCTATAATTTGGTGTTCAGGTTTCAAGGCAAGTCCATTCATTGCTCGGTAAAAATCAAAACTTTGCATTATTACAACCTGATCATGTCCCTTTAAGAAAACACTGTATTTAAAAAAACCTTAATTCATTACACAAAGAACAGGCTTACAGCCAAGATCAGCATACAGTACACTTTATTGGACAGTCAAATATAGAGTGCGTTAATTCAGAACAGCCAGCTTCTCCATCTCAGAACTGCCTTCTACAAAGCAGATTCAGTAATAAGCTCAATATGGTTTGGCCTTGCAAACATGGGTAGTTGTTTTAAAGTCTCACACAAAGGAAGTTTTACAAATGAAGGTATAAAGTCATCCCAGGGTAGGCTGCAATGTACTCAATGGTAAACGATTGTCCTTTGTTTGTATTTAACTTCCTCAGGTTTGGAAAGAGATTTCCCTTGTGTCTGGAAAGTGTAAAAGCAGAGCATAGATTAGAAAGTCTGGAAAGTGTAGAAGCAGAGTATAGATTAGAAAGATTGAATCAGCTTGCAACGAGTTAAAAAGAAAAGTCATAGATAAAAAAGAAAAAGTCAGGAACAATCTTAAAGGACATGAACAACAAATGGAAGACAAAACTCAGTATTCACTAAATAAGCAAGGAGAACATCCTGCAAGCCAAACATCATTTTACATTTGAAATGATGTCCCAGATTTTCTACTTTTGAGTCAGTCTTCTTCCAGGGGCTTTTTAAATCCCTCCCTAATTTGAGAGTAGCTTTCAGTAAAAAAGAGCAACAGAAAATTTGCTATCAGATCTCTTTCTAAATGTCTGTTATCATTAATTAAAATATCATTAAATATAATTTCAACCCTCTAAAAAACAAAGAACCCGAGAATGATTCTTTCGCTTGTTTTGACAGACTTGTTCACTATGTACAATTCTTTGTAATAGACATTTTGGGTTCAGGCATAAGGGCAGAATTTTCCCCCACATGAGAAACCACAAAAATCCTATCAAAAGAATCTCTGATCACCTGCTCTCCAGTATTAAGTTCTTCCACCTAGAAAGTTCTTTTACCAAAGGCAGCAAATATGCCTGCAAACATGCTGCTTGACATACTGCTTTTCTATACACCACTTCATATGGTTACCAGCTCTGTTTTAGAGCTTATTTTAACCTTGATTTAATGTGCCCCTAAACAAATATCAGAATACTTTGAGAACAGAATTTTTAACTGCTCTTATCAGCAATGCTTACTGTGAAAAAAATATAAGGACTGACTCTAAAGAATGCACAAGGAAAGAAACTGCAATGGCACTTCTGGGAAAAGCAATACTATTCTAACACTCTGTGACAGGTTAAACACAAAAATATGACTATGCAGGGAATGGGAGAAAAAGGGGAGGAAGAGGAGTGTTAACTCGTTTGAGAATGCACACAGTGGATTCTGTAGGAAAAGTAAGAACAGAACTGATCCTCGTTCTTAATGTCCTGTTCTTTTGGGTGTACACAGCTGGGAATGAAGAAGGATTTTAAAAAGGAGCTGATTCATTGGTGGTTTGTACTTTGAATTGGAATCAGCTAATCAGAAGTCCAACTAAAAGCTCTGGGTTGAGCATTTATTCAGAAGTCAAATATTGAAAATAATACAGGAAACGAGTTTCAACTGTATTCACTGAATAGCATTAGAAGCATTTTGGACTTCTTACTATCAATAAAAAGGGAGGTAGCAATCATCTGGCACTGGTTGTGACATCTATGTGACTTTTTAAGCAGCAGATTATGGGATGTCTGGAGAGTATCCAAGATCAGTGCTGTGGGTATTTCATTCTAACATGCTGATAGGCCAGGGCTAAAACTCAGTACTTTGCAGAATTGCACCTTAGGAGAAAAGAGGAAATACACTGACATCACTGGGAATATGTTGGAAGGTTTGCCAAATGTTTCCCCGTTCTCCCAACTATGGCAGTCAATGTAGCAAGGGTATTCCTCATTTCTGCCCTGAACAGCAGAAGACTAGCTCCATAGGAGAGATCTACTTTGGTCCTCGTTACATTTTCTATTTTAGGGACAATGAAGGATTGCAAATTGTGGCTGAATTCTCAGCATTTATTTAAACAATTGAGTTTTAAAACTATACTGTGTTCAGCTGCTTTCTTGTTCTGGAAATTAAGGTATTTTACTACTTTAAATCTTAAGATCTGTAATTTTAATGTTCTGAAACTAAAGCATGTGTTATAGAAGTTCAAGGCTAGCAACTTCTAAAGAAATAATTACAGAGGCAGACAATTTAAACCATGCTCTCACACTGAAAACAAAATTTAAACTTGAGATACTTTATTCAAATCTATTTGTGCGCATGCAAATATATTAATTCACTAGAAGTCAAGAGTATAAATAAAAAAAAAAAAAAGGAAGAGCTTCAAGTGCCCTGGCTTCAATACTTTATTTTTTTAAAATAACAACCAAAAAAAAAAAATATAAAGATCATTAAGAAATTTTCCTAATTGCTTTTCCTAGCAAGGCCATGCTTGCCAAAGTTCTACCTTTTACATTAATGTTATAACACTAATTGATGTAGACAGGGACAACATTCCATTACAAGTAATTGAACTAACATGGTCTAATTGTTCAAGCATGAAGAGCTAAGTAAGGATTTGCTATGCATTTAGGTAATGCCTGCATTTCATCTAACCCGAAACTAGAAAAGACAAAATCAAAGTTGTGGGAGAAAAAATTGATCCAAGTTAATTTTTTGTTAATGTAGGGGTTTTTTTCCCCCTATTGAACTGTATTTCCTGATGGCATGTGGCCTTAAGCCAACCTGTTGACTGAGAAAAGATATTATCTTCTCCCCCACACTGAAAACAAAAGAACAAAATTGATTTTGACAGCATTATGTATTCAGTCAAGTTTCATTGAGCTTCCAGTAAATCAAATACCCATTATACAATTAATAGTATTCACACATCAACTCTTTCCATCCAAAGAGACTCCGCAGGTGGATCAAAGATCAGATTCACTGCCTGAATATTAAGGCCACTACCAAAATTTGTGCAGCAGCAGCATTGTAACAGAACAATACTGTACAACCACCTCTGTCTTCACTCCCACTCACACAGTTCAGACAAGGACATGGACAGTGCTAAAGCCTGATTAGACAATTCAGAAATCTGTTCCAAATCCTCATGTACCCAGGCAACAAGAGAAAGGAGCTCAACTCACCCTTTCTTGACCAAGGATTGCTTTTCTGCCCCTCGGCTCTCTCATGAAGAATATTTTTATGTTCAACAAACTTGCTGCGGGGTGAACTGACTACTCTGTAGGCCTGAAAGGGAATTACACCTGAATTTACAGCTGCATCCCTACAAATTTAGCAAACACAAAGAGAAGAGAGGGAGAGAAGGAATTTTAAGCAAATGCTACTGCCCATCTTAAAATGCACATAAAATTTATCCTAAGCAAGGTTTAAAAAAATTAATAATCTGCTGTACTAATATTTTTATGTATTTCATATTTGTCCATTGTTAAAAAGCAAATACAATATACCATGCAGCTTTTGAAGTGCTGCAGTGTTTCAGGAATTGAAAACAGCATTTTAAAAGACAATTATATTAAGATTTCTTTTTTTGTAATGTGGTAAAAATGTGACAGGAAGAGAGACTATGTTATTCAAACAGAAATGCAATCATACATGTTTGATATTTTGAACAAATAGCTACTTACCATTCAAGAGGATTACTTTGTGGGACAGGGAAATATGTACCTCTCTGGTGTGTGCAAGGCACTATGTGAGATCTTGGGGGAGAGGGGTAGAAATAAGCTACAGAACGGAGGATTTAGGGATGTGAAGCACAGAATCAGATACATTTAGAAGCAGGGAAGAGAACGGTTACCAAAAAGCTTAACAAAACCAAATGTTTACAAAACTTTAACATGCTTTCTTGAAGTAACTAATGCTGTTATCTTCTTTTTTTTTTGTGCCCAAATGAACAAGGTTCGTATCTTCCCCTTGCAGCTTCAGATTGCTTATTTCACATCTGCCTTGCCCACTTTGAAATATTGCTAATGTTTCTGGTTGAAAAGACAAGGCAAGGGGTTAGAGACAGGTGCCTTACTCAGCCTTTGGACACATTCATTCCACATAGTTTTAAATATGCTTTCCACTAAGAGTGACCCAGCACTACTTATCAAAGTAACAGTAAAACAGGCAAGCCATAGGCTTTCACCTTCACTAAATACTCTTAAGCTGATTTCTAACTTAGGCTGCACTTAGCTATATGCTACAATATCATTGATAGTTTGCAACTTGACCATACTCTAACCCAGAACACACCTTATACCATGCCAGCTCAGAAAGCACAAACAGCTCCATCCCCAAACACTTACATAAAATAAACCACCAACAGCAACACCAGCAAGCAGATAGATCATCATGCTGTCTCTAGAAGAGCCAGGAACACTCCCAGATGACATCTGGCGAGGAGGCGCTACAAAAACCATTAGGTAAAGTGATGTAAAGTGCTGCTAAAATATGATCACAAAAAAGAATTATGGAATCTGAACTCTGTGTGGGAAAGGATGATCCAAAAAGGTTATAAAACAGAGGTTTATGTATATTGATGTATCCTATGACTGAGTAACACAGGGTGTGGTGCTCCATGGCTGAGCTCTTCCTAAGGGGGATTCTTCTGTGAACTATGTTGTCTGCCATCATCTTCCAAGTACTGGGCACAGTCTATATAACTATGGAATGTTAAAAAATTTTTTTTTAAAAAGCTCCTGACTATGGCAGGTAAAATAATTATCTGTCCTTATTCCTTATGATCAGCAGAAGTAATGAATTCTCTCTTCAGGGTAAACAGGGAATTTTTAAAAAAACTTCTTCATTTGAATTCATGTTCTTTCACTCTCAGACTGCTGACACTGATACATACCCTTCATCTCATGAATTGGCCAATAGGGCAGAGAGGTAGGATTACACAATTTTTTACCTGACTGGATATATATTAACTCTAACAGCAGTGCTACCCATTCATTTGTTATAAACTGATTCTTACTACAGTCTTGGATTCATCTGTACACTTCAAAAAGAGACCCATGAAAAACACACATAATTCTCTTGGTGAACAAAGCCTTCTGTGTAAATTTGTGACTTGATCCCAGATGAGAAATGTCTCATTGAAAAAGTGCTCATGAAAAATAAAATGGCTCTGAGCATTGCAATTGACAGCTGCAAAAATAATCGAAACATCAAAACATTGCCATTGTGTGCTAGGTTATGTTTAGCATCATCTGTCTCATGACACAATTCTGAGACTCCTGTCCAATAGCCAGGCATCCTAATGGATTTGCATACATTTTTATTTTCGTTCAGCAGCAGTGTGTCCTTAACCCTCCCCCTCCCCAGGGCTGCTAGCTATAGCAGGACAGTGATCAGCAAGCTGCCATCGCCTAACACGGCTGGCAGATTTTTTTTTTTTTTTTTTGCCAGTGGTTATACAACCCCTGATGCGCCAAAACCATGGCTGTGGCGCACCGGGTCTGCTCCCGTTCCCTACCGCGGCCGGCAGCCCTGCCGAGGCACCGCCGCTCCTGAGCACTGCTCTACTGGGGGCTATTCTATATGGAAGAGAGGCAGCAGCGGCCACCGTTTTGCCATCGGGCGAGGGTAGGGGGTCCCGGGACGGCTCGGCTGCCCGGCGGGTCGCGGCGGAGGTCTGAAGCAGCCAGTGCCGGAGCCCAGGATGACCGAGCAGCCGGCTCCGGCCGCCGCCCGCCCCCGCCGCACCTGTCCCGGCTCCACGTCGACCCCGCCCGCGACCTTTGCGCATCTCCTCCGCCGCCGCCACCCGGTCCGGCCCGGCCCGCGCCCCGTCATGCCATCCCAGGGACCGCTACCCGGCCCCGGCCCGGCTCCGCGGCGGCCCCGCGTACCTCGCTGCTTGAGGCGGCTGGCGGCGGAAGGAACCCTGCTCAGGAGGGAGGCCAGCGCCTGCGAGGCGGTCCTGCAGAGGGACATGGCCAAGCAGCGGGCGGCGGAGCGGAGCAGAACGAAGCCGACTCTCAGCTGCCCGTCGTGGCGGGGATGCGGCCGCAGACACCGCTCCCGCCTCGGGCGCCGCGGGGGCGGGTCGAGCCGCAGCCCCACCCCGCCCCGCGTACCAGGACGCCGCTCCCGGCCGGGGGTGTCCCGGGAACGGCGCCGTAGGAGCCCCAGCGGCAGCGGGAGGGGGAAGCGGCTTTCTGGAGCGGAGCGCACATTGCGCAGAGCCGGGCGCTGCCGATACCGACCTGCCCCATTGGCAAGTAAAGGGCGTTCGGTACTGACTGCAACAACAGACCCTGGATAATAGGGATGGCATTTACCAAGGAGAAAGAACATAGGGAGAAACTACTGTTTTACTTAAAAAGGAATTTTTCCAAGAGAAAAAAAAAAAAAAATTGAGAAGAGCACTCGGGTTAAGCACCGTGCCAAAGGCAGTCGGTGTTGGCAGTGAGACACTCGAAGTGAATCGCTGCTCTGGTATCATGTCGACTGTCACAACCATGGGTGTTTCCGCATCAAACCTGGGCAGCTATCCTTGTCCTACCTACATTGTTAGGCAGTAGCTCTGTTTCTCCTCCTTTCTCTATCCAGAGCTTCCTTCTTCCCTCAATGATCATCTAATGCCATCATAGTCTGCCATGATGCCCTTTTTCCAGCCTCTGTCCTTGACTGACCTTGATGCACAAAGAGAGGGCAGAAGTGTTCAGAAGGCAGTGCTCACACCCAAGACTGACATGGGCTGTGTAGTTCATCCCCTGTGGGCACCTTTCAGGCATGGCCAGTTCCCAAAATGCTCACAGGAAAATGCATATTTTAGCATTTATACAGATGCTATTCTTATATTTGCTCATTTTATAAATTTAGCAGTGAAAGTGATGGCAGAGCAAGACTGGAATATTCTGGAATATTTACTGAACCTAATCTGAACTGATGTTTAATTTTGTAATATACCTTCCAGAATAGCAAAGACAGTTTTGAAAATAAGACTGATAAACTATTAAATGGAAATAAAAACATAAAACAACTTCAAGACCAGCAGAATGAAATATTAATGGTAAAGAAAGTAGTTTCAGGTTTCTTCTAGACTTTATAATTTATTTTTAATTATGCACATGAAATGTATGAACATGCAAGCAATTAGGTAACTTTTTACTTCTTCTGTGCTCATTTATTCGTAGGAAAACGACCACATACACTTGGCCCTGTAGTGCACATATCTTTGTGACCGTGTCATCAGCCTAAGAAAGAAAAGAAAAAATTCTTAGCAATAAGAAAAATAGATGTGATGAAAGTGGCCAGAAATCTCATAACATCCTGCATTTTTATTTGAAGAGCACCACAAGTTTTTCTATAGTATAAGGCTTTTTTTCATGTGGCGTATTAAGTGCTCTGAGGCCATAATCCCCAAAGACTTCTTAGCTGGCAGAAACACAAATTATGTTTTTTATATTGAAAAGGGACAATGATCACATAGACTTTGCCCTATAGTGCACATCTACAGGCATTGACTTTACATACTTTTTTGTGTAAATACAGACGTGAAACTGAGAAAAAACATACCCCACTGAATACATGTTAAAAGAAAAAACCAAGATGAAAAGATAAGCTATCATTAGTCACTCGTTTCCTTGCCACTGAGCCATTTACAAGGTATTCAATTTACAACCTTTATTCATTGTAGACACTGTAAGAGATGTATTATTCTCTAAGAGTCTGCATGTTCAAGACAGAAAGCTGAGAGGGAATACACACACAAGTGAATATATGAAAATACAGATCAGCCACCTTATCATTTTAAAGCTGGGAATGATTTTAAATAATAGCAAAAGCCAAAATGCAAAGTATTGAGGAAAAAAAGAAGTTCAGTATCTTGACTCCTAAAAGATGTCAAAGATCTTCAGAATTTGTGTTCAGCTAAGTCAAAAGCATTTGTATGTGCGTACTTACTATGAACATTCTCTACACTTATGTCCTCTTGCTTGTTTTCTTCTTTCATATTCCATTACATCTTCATTATGCTGCTTGACAAGCTATAAAAGAGCAGTATATTATAAACAGCTATACAATTCACAGCTGGATCCAGACAACAAAGAGAGTTCTACAGAATATAAAATACCTGTTATCAAAATGCAAACCAGCATGTAACTGGGACCGTCCAGAACACAACATATCTAAATTAACAACTGAAAAAGGTGTGAAAACAATGCCTCATAGGACAAGCATTTTCTCTTGACCACATGGGGGTGCTCCCACTGACAATTAATTCACTACCCCCAAAAAAGGGGAAACCTCAAAGGGAATCCATCCCACTCTGAAAACACTGTCACCATGGGGAGTGCTGTTGATCCTGCACAGTTTTTCCTGAGAACTACTACACCCTGCTTGAACACCATAAAGTCTATTGGTTCTCTGGAACAGAGAATATCCTACATCTGCACTTTGCTCAGGAAAAAGGGGTTTTAATCTGTTGAAATCAGCTAAAGACACTTTAACCAGCTGAAAAGTGAGAACAGAATGCATTAGTAGTCTGATAAACACAACATTATCTGGGCACATCCGTAGGTCTTCTTTCCTTTTGGAAAGACCATGGGGAAAATAATGCCAAAGCATTAATCCAACAGGCGTGAAAAATTAATTCTGTTGTGGGTGTTTTAAGTTTGCAACAGAAAGAAGATTAAGAACTTGTTAATTTCTTAAAATAAGAGCTAGGAAAACATAAATAATGAACATAATCATGCTTCAAATTTGACACCTGCTATGACCATCCATTACCTCAGTAAACTCAGTAGGCTGCAGTCACTGCATTCATATCACTATTATGATTTTTAAAGAATAGTTAAGTTCAACAAAACCAAATCAAAACACTTACCACAGCCCACAAGGCAGCACTGGTGCCAAATGCCAAGCCAACTCCCAGCCAGTTTGGTTGGGCATTATTCACTTTCTTCACAACAAATGCAGAACGAGTAAAAGCTAAAAAGGCACAAAATTACAAATGCATTAACATTCCTCAGAGTTAGACTACCAAGTACTTACTGATATTCATGCAATCAGGAAAAACAACCAAACCACAACACAAACCCCAAACGAATTCGATGACGAAATGGTCTCCATAACACTGTTATAGCCGACCCCTTCGTAGGATCCCCGCAGGATACACTCCCTGACCCACGAGAGGGGACGGGGGCGGCTGCCAACAACTCAAAAGCAGTGCTTTTTGCCCTTTCCCCAGCCACAATAACTATTTCCCCCGGCATCTTCTGCTCTATAAGGATGCTTCTCACTGTCCCCTGCCTAAAGCCCCCAGCCCCGGGCCTTCCCCGCTAATCAAGCGCGCTACGGGCACAGCCTTTCAGGGAAGGGGCCGGCACCACCATCGCGGCGAGACATGGTGAGCCCTCACCCCGGCCTGGAAGCAACACCAACTTAAAACAGATAAATAAAAGATTAAGAAATAACTAATGGGATTGAATTAAAAACAGTAAAAGGAGAAAAGCTACCACCGAAGCTTCCTCTAACGCCAGACGCAGACTGGCTCGCGGGGACGCGGCGGCCTGACCAGGCAGCCCTACGTCAATAGGCCGGGCCGGGGCAAAGCCTACCCCGTAGGGGCCCTCACCCCGCCACCGCCGCTCACCAAGGCTGGGTGGTGCTGCTGCCACCACCGACCCCCAGCGCCTCAGCGCCCTCAGGCCCGCCGCCATCTTGTCGACCGGACCCGGCTCCGCCTGCGGGGGTGGGACCACCCCGCCCCGCCCGTGCCCCGACGCCCAGGCGGGTGAGTTCCGCCGCGCAAGACCGGGCGGATCCTGCGCAACTCCATGGCTACCCGCTCTTCCCCGCCAGCTGCCGGCACCGAGCAGTGCCGCGGCCGCTCCGGAACCACCCCGGGCAGGCCCCGGCTCCGCGGCAGAGCCTACACAATTGGCGGGGCGGGGCCGGCGCGAGGCCGTGGCGCATGCGCGGGGACGCCGTGACCCGGCTGGGGAAGCGCCGCGCTGCCATTTTGGCGGCGGCTCGGCGGCCGCTCGGGACCACGTGAGCGCGCCCGGGGCTGGCGTGGGGAGCCCGGCGCGCGCGGCGGCCGGAGGGGTCGGGAAGGACCGGGAGCGGCCGGGTCCGCGGGCGGCAGGCGGCGGGAGCGGCTAAATTCCAGGGGCAGGCTTACGGCGGCGGCGGCCGAGCGGTGGACACGGGACGTAGCCCGCCCGCCCGCCTACTCAGTCTCCTCCTCGGAACCCCTCGGCGGCGCTGGAGCCGGCGGCGGGGAGGATGCCGTCTGTGAGCCTGCCGCCCAAGGAAAACGCGCTCTTCAAGCGCATCCTGGTGAGTGGCGGAGCGGGAGGCCCGGGCTCGGCTGCGGGGAGTGGGTTGAGGAGGCCCCAGCTCGTACCCCGAGCCGGCGGGGAGCGGAGTCCCGGCGCCACCGCCCCGGCCGCGGCTCCTTACGGCTGGGACAGGCCAGCCCCAGCGCCGCCCGTCGCCCGCACCCTGTCCCGCCCGACTGGGGCAGCGCTGGGGTCCGCCGCGTCTGCCCGCTCGCCCACCAGGTCCCGTCGCTGGCTGCGGTCAGGCACCCCGGGCTCCGGGAAATACCCCGCGGCCGCTTCATTCATCGCTCGCCGTTGCAGCCTGTGTCCTGCCGAATCACCCACCCTGGGTTCGCTTTTTTTTTTTTTTTCTTTTATAACTCACTGTTTTGTTGTAGGCAATAGCCGTGTTTGTTGGCGGCTGAGAAGATGGCTTTCGAAGGAGGAAGTGGACAAGGATGATGGTTTTGAAGTCTTCCCGAAGTTTAATTTGCAGCCAGCTCGTGTGGAAATTTATCAATCGATTTTGCTGGGTGGCAGCTGGCATATGGATGAGAGAACATTCAATGTTAGGCAAGAAACCTGGTTTTCAGAATGAGTTTAAGGTGGTCTACAGTCCAAATACCAACAAAGTTGGCCCAATTCAGCTAGATCTTAAGGAACTTGTTTCAACTTTCATGCGGTGTTGCAGGAATGTTGTGTTTCTAAGGACTTGGGTAGAGTTGGAAGTGTCTTAGTTTGTTAGTGAGCAACTTCAGTAGATTTATTTAGAAGGTTCTCTATCTAGGTTAAGCTGTTTACTCTCAGAAGAAGTCGGTTTTGTCTAAAAATCTCATCTTGTCTTTGAAAGAGACACTACTATTTTGAGTCATTCCAAAGATCAGAAGTAAGATGAGTACTGTTGTCCTGTTGGAGCAACAGCACTCTTAAGGGTCTGTAAACTTCTTAAGTGGGAGGAATGTGTACAGTCTTCTGTCACTTCTGTTTCCAAAATATTTTACAAAAATGGAGCATGTAGAACTAGAAAGCCCTATGCAGAGGCATGTGACCATGAGACATACTGTTTCAGTTATGGTTAAAAAGTAAATATGATGAACTATAAATCTGATTTCTGCTTTGAAAGATTCAGTCATGCTTTTGAGTTGGTGTAACTTTGTACTGAGTATGTAGTTTTTCAGTATTAGGGGCTGGGAAAGATGTAGCCTTGCTGCTCAGTGATCTATCCTCCTTTGCATTGAGGATGGTTTGTGTGATTACAGGGCACACTGAATCAAGGAGCTTGTCAGTGTTTAAATCTGAGCGGGTTTGGTTGGTTTTTTTATTTCTTTCCTTTTTTTTTTTTTTTTTTTTTTTTTTTTTTTTTTTATTTTTCACTTTGCTTAGATGTGTCTGAGTTTTTGTATGGAGGGCAGGAACAAATAAGGAAAAAGAGTGTCTTTGGAGAAAGTGCTGGCTCAGCACACTTGCACTCATAACTTGATTCAGACTAGAAAAGGTATGCCCTAGTGGAAGCAGATTACTGTACACTTTTTTTTAAACTGAAGATCTTTAATAAAAATTGTGGAGTGTGAGGTATTTGGATAGGCTAAAAGCTGTTGTGTCATTGTGATCTTTTCCTGTGTCTCACAGGGATGAGCCTGTGAGACAGATGTGTAGTCTGGTATTTAAGACTGCCTTGTGATGTGGTATCTTTATAACACATGGTGAATAGGAAAGGCTCAAAGCTGGTTTTCATCACACTGAAAATTTTGCTAATGAACTACTTGTATGCCCTGTTACAAATAATGACCCTACTTTGTGAAGTTTTGGTTATGTGTTTGACTTGAATTAGCGAGACATCTTTTAGGAAATCCTAAGTGCAGGCCATAAGAAAACTTATTTCCCTTCTGTGCCTTCACTCTTCCCTCCACACCTCTCTCATCCTGCAGCCTCTCCTCATTCTACACATCTTTTTGGAGACTGTAGCACATCATCCTCTGCCACCTCTTATAGTGTTCTGTGGGAAGCTGAACAGCAGTAGGAGGAGTTGAGGTCTGCCTGTGCAGCTCTGAGCCCCCGGCCAGGAATGAGGTGGTCCTGGGTAAACCCATGCTGCCTCCTGGCCCAGCTAGGCCATGTGTCCTGTTCAGCATGCCTGGATCAGGTTTTTTCAACAGATGATTTGGGAACTGGCCCAAGTTACTGAAAGGATGCAATACCTTACAGATATGTAATTTGCTGGTACACAGGCTGTTAACACAAGTATAAACCCATTCCCATTCTGGATTTCATGGAGATAATAAACACAGGAGCTAAGTGGATAACTGCCTTGTGTTTTTGCAAGTGAAGCATAAAGTTGGGGTTTTTTTCAATCTGTTTTTTGTGTGTTGTGTGTTTTCAATTCCTGCGGCTTTTTTTTTTTTTTTTTTTAAGATGTATACCTGTAACACAAATGTTACCAACCTGCCCAGCTTTGCATAGCAAAGGGCAGTAATTAGCTTTTAGAGTTTGATTGTTTTGTTTGTTCAGTAGTAAGCATCTTGCATGGTCAGTACCTTTCTCATGTGTATGGGTTTGCTCACAAGCTAGCATTTCCACTTACCTGACAAATTCTGAGTTCAAAAGTGTGTACACTTTGTGCTTGAGTTTTCAACACGCTGTAATTGGACTAACCTCTTCCAGTGACTTTACAGGCATGTAGAGTTTCTAATAGAAACATTTTTCCATTTGAAAGACATTTTACAATTCAGAGTTCCTGTAGTACAGCAGGAAAGAGATCTGCGTGATTAGCTTGAAAAAAAAAACACCCACAGGATTAGCAATCACTGTTCTCCTTATACTTGCACTTCCATTTAAAAAAAAAGTGTCTAGGTAATATAGTTTTTATAGTTTTAACTATTTGCTGTTAGGTCTACAAGTAGATGTTCGACTGCTCAGAGATTCTAAGGAATTTAGAGCAAAAGTAATTGAGTCTTTATGATTCTTTTGAACACACATAATTTCTAGGCAGTCCAGAAATTACTGGAGAAGAATTCAGGTGGAGGCAGGGGAAAGGGTAGAATAGTAAACAGAGCACAGTAATAGTTAAGTTGGCATTTTGGTACACAGAAGGCTGGATGCACTGTTAAGTAATGGAAAAAGTGTACTCCATTTCCTTCTCCTCCCACCTCCCTTAGTATCAACTGTAGAACTAGCAGTTGTACGAAGTAAGACTGACTGATTTTTAATTAAATATAACTGATGCCTTAACCCTTCCTGGAATTTTGCCAAATTATTAATCTGTATCTGGTCAGGTACAGTTCATCAACGATGTTCAGTTTTATTGCACAAATCCCAAAGATAATACTCAAGTTTTCTTTGGATGTAGAAATTAAATATATTTATTGAAAAGGTTTTGAAGAAAAATTAAATATAGAGCTGTTAGGGGTGCCATGTATTTTGTGGAAGAGTTTTTTCAATCTCTTGAAACATCAGGATGAAGTTCTTTGAGTTCTGACAGACTAAGGTGGTGCAGGTATTTTTCATGCATAGTGAGCTTAGCCTTTAATGAGTAAAGAGGAAAAAGGTCCAAGTATTTCAGAAGTGCAACGTCATATTTTTATGTTGGAAACAAGCAATGCAGCTGTGTGAGTGTGTTCAATCCTTGTTTAAACATTTCCACTGTCTCAGAATTCTATTTTGTGCTGTAGAAGTAATGTACTAAGGAAGGAGATGCTGTACTGGTCTGAGCTGGTGTATGTTGCATTGTGTGAAAATCAGAGTTTCTCTGTTCAGGACTGGGGATTAGCCATGGCCATTTTGACGTATGGAAGCTATTAATCTTTCATCTCTATCAGTTTCCTTAGGTGTTGTGCAGGCTTGATTGGGCATGGCCAGAACCCATGTGCTCCAGTGGGGCATTGCAGTAAGCAGGGTGTCTGCTGTGGGATGGGGACATTTCCCCTTCATTTGGTCATTTTTACCTCAACATTGTAGTCCTTGAGGGCATTGTCTTTGAGCTGGTGGTCTTCCTTTTCCGTGCTGGCTTTGACAAGTGCTCCACTAAGTGATGTAGGAGCTTCCTGGTGATAAAAAGCCTGTTGAACAACCTCTCTTCCGTGCCTCTGCTGTAAATATGCCAAGTCCCTCATGCTGGGCCATCTTCCTGTTTCTTCATTCCAGAATCTGCTCCCTGTCCCTGCACTTTGAAACTAGACAGACCAGTACTTCTCCTTCACTTTTGATTTCATCAGCATGAGTCCTATAGAAATATTGTTCTGTCATAGAAATTCAGGTGCTAACTTTAACATTGCTGAGGTGACAAGACTTGGAAATCTCTTCTTAAGTCATCTTAATTCAAGATTAAAGACTTGATTGCCAGAATTTCACTTTTATCAGTAACCAAGTAAATTAGTTGGTTTGCAATCATTGTTGTATTTGCATGGCTGTACAGTAATCAAGTATGCACACCACTGGAATTTTACCATATACCGTCTTTCAGTTGAAATACGGAATTGCTAACACGGCTTTTCCAATTGCTTGTCTGTTGAGATGTCAATTACTTCGTTTTTCTTTGCCAAGAAGAATACCCTGCTTGGTCAGTAGTAGTAGGAA